AATAAATCCCCATATTAGTTCATTTCTTCCTCCTTCATTTAATAACAATAATCTCCTTCTCTATTGTCTCTGTTTTCCACCCATTCCCTCTCTGCTCCCACCTGTTCTGGAGAAGCTGAACTGGGAATATTTCCAGCATTCCCAGCTTTATTTCCGTCCAGTGGAAACCAGGACGGCCCCGCGCGCGCAATGCGGGGCGCGCGCGGTGCTTTATTTAGTTATTTATTTATTTATTTTGATTGTATTTTCGTTCACGCCTCCCATGGAGCACTCATTCACCCCTCCTACACGCACCACATTACAGCATGTAGAGGCTGCACACCGCGGACACACCCACCATTAACAGCTCCACCTGTCAGGATACAAATATTCACCTTATTTTAACAATTATTATCCAAAACATAGATGTTCTAATTATCCTCCTATTTACGCCATTAAATGACATAAAGCTGCAGCTTTTTCAAACGTTTTTTCCAACCATAGATCATGCATTTTTATTTTATTTTTTTATTTTTTTGCCATCTGGCCAAAGCTGGAGCGCTTTGATGGATCCAGACCGGATCGTTGCTCCGCTCCATCACTAAAACCCTCATTATTAACATGCATTTCAAATCCAGGCCACACGGTCGATTTTATTCGATTCCTCTGCATGCATCCCGCAAATCATTCCGCAAATCATCCCGCAACTGGCCTCCGATTTGATCCGATCAGACACGGAATGAAAGAATAAAACGAACCGCGGACGGATCCGACCTCCTTCTGCACGAATCTTTGCGACAGAAGGAGACGGGATTCATGCTTAGTGAAGCTGCGTGAAGCTGACACCCCACCCACGTCAAAAAACTCTGCAAATAGACTGAATGGTTAGTGCAACGTTAGTGCAGATTTGTGCAGAAAAAAATATCGTTTGTGCTACTTTTGTTTAAGAGATATTAAAGATTATTTTTTAGGTCATCCAGAGGTCACCATCCCCCCATTAAACTCCAATTTGAACCAAAGTGGTCTCGTTTTTTAGTGCTTCGTTTGTGCTGATTTGTGCAGTTAAAACGGTCATTTGTGCTATTTTACTTTTAAAGATATAATCATTTTAATTTTTGGCTGATGACGTCACCATCCCCCCATCAAGCTCCGATTTGATCCAAAGTGGTCTCATTTTTTAGTGCTTCGTTTGTGCTGATTTGTGCAGTTAAAACAAACATTTGTGCTGCTTTACTTTTTAAGATATAATCATTTTAATTTTTTGGCTGATGACGTCACCATCCCCCCATCAAGCTCCGATTTGATCCAAAGTGGTCTCATTTTTTAGTGCTTCGTTTGTGCTGATTTGTGCAGTTAAAACGGTCATTTGTGCTGCTTTACTTTTTAAGATATAATTATTTTAATTTTTTTGGCTGATGACATCACCATCCCCCCATCAAGCTCCGATTTGATCCAAAGTGGTCTCATTTTTTAGTGCTTCGTTTGTGCTGATTTGTGCAGTTAAAACGGTCATTTGTGCTGCTTTACTTTTTAAGATATAATTATTTTAATTTTTTTGGCTGATGACATCACCATCCCCCCATCAAGCTCCGATTTGATCCAAAGTGGTCTCATTTTTTAGTGCTTCGTTTGTGCTGATTTGTGCAGTTAAAACCGACATTTGTGCTGCTTTACTTTTTAAGATATAATCATTTTAATTTTTTTGGCTGACATCACCATCCCCCCATCAAGCCCGATTTGATCCAAAGTGGTTTTCATTTTTTAGTGCTTCGTTTGTGTGATTTGTGCAGTTAAAACCAAACATTTTTTGCTGCTTTATTTTTTAAGTATAATCATTTTAAAATTTTTTTTGGTTGATGAAAATCCCCCCACCCCCCCATCAAGTTTCCGATTTGATCCAAAGTGGTTCATTTTTTAGTGTTTTCATTTGTGGATTTGTGCATTTAAAACCCGCATTTGTGTGCTTGATGTCCAAATTTCAAAACTTTATTCTTATCTTGCAGGTGTTGTTTAACAACCGTTTCTTTTAAATTACACATCTAAAAAATTTGCGGGTTTTTTTTTCAGGGCCGCTTTTTATCTGTAAATTCTTGTCATTTAATTTGTTGGGGACAAAAGAAAAATTATATCTCATCCCAACACGGGGAAAAAAGGGAAAAGTTTTTTTAAAAAATGTTTCTACTGAAAAAATCGTGTTTTTATTATAAAAGTTTACAGCCTGTTTGTCCCTTCTTTTTTAGATTTTTTTATATTCAGGGTAATTGGCAAAGTCTTAGGGAAAGTGTTTTTATTGTTATTTTATTATTATTATTTTTTTTTAAATTTCCACTGTTATAAGAAAAAAATTTTTTATACAGTGGCTTGGTTGCCCCATGCCGGAAAGGAAAGTAGTTATTCAAAACAGCAGTTGTGGGGCCGCTTTTCAGAACGCCCTTTGGGGGAAGGGGTTTTGGCCAGATGCACCGTTTGGTCTAACCAATGTTTCAAGAAAGCAGGGTTAAAATTTTATTTTATTTGTTTTAAAATTGCAATTTTTTTTAGCTGTTATTGTAAAAAAAGTTTTTTTTATATTTTTTTGTATTCCCTAATAAAGATTTTATTGCAGCAAGATTTTTTGGCCTTTAATTTTAAAAAGAAATTTGATTTTTATTTGCAATGTCCAAAAAAACCCCCCAAAAATATTAACCTTTCTCCAAAAGAAATGCAATTTTGTTGTCTCACAAATGGAGAGGGGGACACACCATCCTGAGCCTGCACATGATCAAATCCTCACATTCTGCAACAGTTATATACTTATAACTTCTACAAATCTTTTACCTGTTACTTATATTCCATTATTATTATTCTAATATTGTAACTGCGATTTCTTTTAAGGTGGTTTTGATAGTCGTATTCACATTGTTGACCCTTATTTTCCGCACATTGAGCAGCAAACTGGTTTAAAAAAATAACTGAGATGCGCCAGAAGGATGAAGTTAGAAGTGCACAGCACGTAGGCAATTGAGTGTCATTTCAATTAACCAACTTCTTAATGCTTTAATAAAATGCATCAAGCTTTAATTTGTAACTTATGACATTAAATGTAGGAGTTATTAAAACAGCATTGACCGTTTGGCAAATTGGAAGTCCCCACACGACTTTACAGGGAGTGACGCCACCTAGTGAGTCAGTGAACTGTGCGTAGAAAGAATCAAATTAGATCATATATATATCAAAAAAAAGTGAAATTCCCTTTAAACGTCAAAAATCCGTCAAAAAGTGATTTTTTTTGCAAGGGTTAAAATAAAAATAAAGGGGAGTGCATTGTTGAATGCCTTTCATAAAAGGGTAGCAGCCCCATGGGGGAAATTTAAAAGTTAGGGAACAAATAAGGTTTTAGTAAAAAAAAACGTGACCGGGTCAACAGAACTACGTTTTTTTAGCTAAGTTGGCCAGGGTATCCGATATTTTTTAATTTTTAAAACAAAGCAAAACAGATTTCTGTTTAAAACCAAAATTTGGGGGGTGGTTTACCCTCACCCCCCCCCTAAAAATTTAAATTTTTTATATCTTTAAAAAAATTTAAAACGCACAAAATTTTTTTTTAACTGCACAAATCAGCACAAACGAAGCACTAAAAAATGAGACCACTTTGGATCAAATCGGAGCTTGATGGGGGGATGGTGACGTCATCAGCCAAAAATTAAAATGATTATATCTTTAAAAGTAAAATAGCACAAATGACCGTTTTAACTGCACAAATCAGCACAAACGAAGCACTAAAAAACGAGACCACTTTGGTTCAAATTGGAGTTTAATGGGGGGATGGTGACCTCTGGATGACCTAAAAAATAATCTTTAATATCTCTTAAACAAAAGTAGCACAAACGATATTTTTTTCTGCACAAATCTGCACTAACGTTGCACTAACCATTCAGTCTATTTGCAGAGTTTTTTGACGTGGGTGGGGTGTCAGCTTCACGCAGCTGCTTAGTGAATAATTCAGCCATTTCTCTTCCACGATCACGCGCGGACAGAAACCCTCCTCCACAGCATTATGCAATGAAATAAAAAATAAATAAATAAATCTTTCCATTAAAGCCCTAAAGGTGTGAGGGTTTGACACGCAGCCTGCAGGGGAAGCAGGTTGTCCTGCAGCAGCAGAAACATTAATTTACACCTGGGATCCACTGAGAGACCGGGAAAAGCTGGCCAAACGGGCACGAGCGAAGCGCGTGCACCGGCCTCGGTACGCGCGCTCAAAGGGAAATTAAAGAGAAACAATTGCAGCTTATTTTTTAAATTTATTTTTGAGCATCAAAGATTTAATTTTAATTCATAAACAATTAAAAATATAATAATTAAACGTTCCTGATTAGTTTGTGCGTCTAATTGTCGGACAGCGCGGGGCGTGACGCGCGCACTGCGGCGGGATGGCTCCTCTGGCACCGACTAACACCTGGGCTCCTGTAACCGTCTAATGCCTGGAGTCTGGGTTCTCTGTTACACTCGGATCCTTCAGGCCTTTCGTTCAACAACTTTATGCAACAAGCAAAAATGCATCTTTAAAAAAATATATTTTAATCCAGATTAAAGCAGTTAGAATATTTTTATTGAATTTATATTATTGTTATTTATGAACAATTCTGCAGATGGAGGAGATGCAGCATCTCGAGTTTGGGACAACCGGGAGGAAGGGGAAGAAGGAGGGGGGGGGGCTTTCCCCTTGTTAACGCACATACGTGCACGCACGCGCGCACACGCAGCGTTAATGTGAAGTGAATTCCCGTTAAAACAGGCGCAGCTGCTGAACTCCGATCCAAAGCTGCAGACAAGAAACGAACCTGATTTTATTTCATCTTTAAAATTATTTAAAACGAAATTTGCTCTGTTAAAAAAAGAAAGAAAGAAAGAAATGCATGTTTAATTTGCAATTTAGATAAAAAAAAAAATAAAAATAAAAGTGGAGTGTGCTGCGTGAAATCGGACAGGTGCAAAGATTGAATTTCAATAAAAGGATGAGAAAGAGTTGAGCTGCTCACCTATGAGGAGGGCCAGCAGGAGTGTGAGGCATTTGGAGGACCAGGTTACTCCCATCCTCTGCGTCCGCCTCTCACCATGAGAGCACAGATTCACAAAGTTGTAGAGCCGGACATTCCCCGCAACAAACCCACGCAAAACAGCTACATCCAACACGCAGAGCCCCGCTGCTGCTGCTCCTCTTCCTCCCTCCTCTGTCTGCAGGTCGCTGCTGCTCCTCTCTCCTCTCTGCTCTCACTCAGATTTACGCGTCCCGAGTGAGAAAAAGGAGGACAGGGAGAAAGCTCCTCCTTCCATCCATCCCTCCCTCTCTCCCTACCTGATCCATCCCTCCTTCCTTCCACCAGCATCATTTTTACGGTTTGTTTTTAGCTGTTTCTATGTGTCTAAAATGTTCCACATTCATCATTTAGTCATAAATCATATAGTTTGTATTTTTCTATGATGCGCAGCTAATAGAGGAACAAAAAGGCCTCCAGGAAAAACAGAAAGATTAAAGAAATCAAGAGAACCCTGATTTATATTTAAGCTCTTAACATCTGCTCTCTGATATAAAACTGTGAAGAAGGTGTTGGATTATAATCCAAATTTTTAATCCTTAATCTACCCAGGTAATCCGGCCAGAACAAAGATGGCAGACATCAGTTGCCCTTAAGTCTCTTTATTGGAGCTGCGCTGATTAGGATGAGAATTATTCTTTGAGCTTCTTATTATGATTTCTAAGAAATTCAGAATAAATTAAAATTAAGTAACTAAAAAAACATTCAGATCAAATAAAATCTACATAAAATAGAAAAGAACAATAAATGCAAATAAAACCAATATGTTAAAAGAATAACTGAGAAATAACACAGGCTATAAACTTAAAACTTAAAGAGAAACAGGGTTATTTCTACCACTTCTCACCGAAACTTAGTAAATTCCAACAGCACTTAAACGCCTCATTTGGGTAGAAGGGAAAATACCAGGAAAAATAAGCTTTCCGATGGTCTTTAAATGCGTCATCAGCAGAGCTTACGTAACAGAAAGAAAGCGACCAGATTAGAAACAATAAAAGCTGCATTAACACATTTCCAGCTATATATGCGATTCAAATCTATTCAGTGTATTTCTATAGCTCCAATTCACATCATGTCATCTCAGGTCACTTTCCAGTTCACCAGATCATCCAGTCAGATTGATTCAAAGTTTTCTATCTAAGGAAAACCAGCTGATTGCATCGACTCATTGACTCTTCAGCAATCCCTCACACTAAGCATGCTTGTAGCGACAGTGGAGAGGAAAAACTCCCTTTTAACAGGAAGAAACCTCCAGCAGAACCAGGCTCAGTGTGAAAAAGTTCTTTATTTTTTCTTCTCATGCCGCTCATTAATCCTCCAGGAATTTAAATTCTGTCAGTTTATCACCTCTTATCCAGATTCGCTCCCCTCTGGTTTGTTCCATTGCCCCTAATTTGTTCTTCATTTCTAGTTTTTTACTATTTTTATTTATAGACATGACCTTTCTAAGTTATTTATATGATAAATGCGCTATTATCAAACCCTACAAAGGAATGTAATAAAATGTGTGAATAGGATCTTACTAATTTGCTAAATGTATATCTATTGAAATCAACAACAGCAACAGTAAAAATATTTTTTTTATCTTTTCTTTGGAAATAAATGTATCAATTAACTGGTAACATGGATTTAATGAGAGTTACACTGACAAAAAGTGAATTTCTATCAATTAAATCACAATAATAATCTAATTTAAAAGGTTTCCTCTTTACTTTCATTATAAAAATATTGTTCTTATTTGTATTTTCTATATAAATATATCTTAAAGCAATCTATGATGTTCTGCTTGTTTGGCAGCAACCGCTGCTACTTCTGCGTTACCTTTAGGGTGAGTTTCAAAACATGCAAAATTACAGAAGTTCTGGCATTAAATATTATTCATAAAATGTTCTCATTTAAAGTTGTTCAAAAAACATTTGGAATTTTGAACCCAAGACAGATATCAGCACCAACAGGAAGAGAAAGTAGGACATCTATTGACGGCGCACATGGAAAGCAGATAAAGCTTCTTCTTTTTTTTTTTGTCTTGTGTTGAAGAGTTTAAACTAGGCAAAATTATAAAACATTATAAAACTGACAAAACGCTCTGCAACTATAATAATTTCTGGGAATAATGTATCAAAATTTTAAAATATATATAAGTAAGGAGCAGTGGTTACTTCATGCACTGTAAAAAGAAAAAGATCCTTTGTGACTTTAAAGTTTTGGGTTTTTATTAGCAATAACCCATAGTGAAAAAAAAATCAAATCTATATATAAATCTAAATAAGGAGCATTACATTTCTTATGAAAAAAAGTACGTGCAATTAGTGAGCGTGTTGATAGTGATCTACAAAGAATGCAGATGCAATGGATAATATTTTCAAAAGTGTTCCAGATTGAGATTCCTGAACGAGGAAACAGCAGATTAAAGAAAAATGAAGTTCAAAGCTGTTGTTTTAGAGATAATTATCATAATAATAACAAAAAGAAGTATAATAACAACATTAATCCAAAAATGTATATTACTAATGATGTACTAAATAAAGTACTACACAACAATGGAAGAAAAAATAAACCTTAACGATTAAATATAAATAATTAAACGTGGAAAAGATGTTTTAAAGCAGCTAAATGAAGCTCTAATCGTCTGTTTTTATCTTCTCCATCTTCTTACAACCTGCTGACAAAAAGACAAATCGCAACAAAGGAAGCCCATAATACAGCAGTGCTGCATACAGAGACTGGAACGGAACATCCTGGAATCATTTTTTTTATTATGATTTATAATTTCTAAACTTTCAATTAATTTTTAAGTAATTAGAAATGTAGTTGCTTATCTGCAAGGAAGGGCATCCTGTTGGTCAGTCTTACTCAAATCTATAAAACTCAAACCGATTTTTGATCCTTGTTAGATTTTTCTATTAATTTATTTTTTGTTTGTTTATAAAAATGAAACAATATTTAAAAATCTTTGTTTTGTTTTTCTTTTACAAAGACCGTCTCTGTCCCATTTTTCTGAGCTGTGTGGAAACTTTTTCCTATTTCATCCCAAAATCGCGCTGCTGTACCTTTACAAACAGCTGAACAGATGACGTGTCTTTACTTTCGAAATTTTTGATAGTCCAAATATACGGAAGAGGATTAGGGCCAGTGGAAAAAAAAAAAAGTTAACAAATTTTTACATTTTATTTCAGTTTAGTATGGGAAAAAAGTCAGAATTCTGAGATTAAAGTCAGAATTCTGAGAAAAAAAGTCAGAATTCTGAGATTAAAGTCAAAATTCTGATATTAAAGTCAGAATTCTGAGGAAAAAAGTCAGAATTCTGAGATTAAAGTCAGAATTCTGAGAAAAAAAGTCCGAATTCTGAGATTAAAATCAGAATTCTGAGATTAAAGTCAAAATTCTGATATTAAAGTCACAATTCTGAGGAAAAAAGTCAGAATTCTGAGAAAAAAGTCAGAATTCTGAGATTAAAGTCAGAATTATGAGGAAAAAAAGTCAGAATTCTGAGATTAAAGTCAGAATTATGAGAAAAAAGTCTGAATTCTGAGAAAAAAAGTAGAATTCGAGATTAAAAGTCAGAATTCTGAGAAAAAAAGTCAAATTCAGATTAAAGTAAAAATT